TCGTCCATTAGGACTCAGTCCTATGTTTTATCACATGATTAATGGACATAAGGACCGACGGTCCTTGAAGTTAGGACCGGACCGGGATCGTCCTATAAAAAGATCGTCCGGGACGACATCCTTAAGGACCGATTAACATCCCTACATATATTAGATATGTTTGCTGTTATATAAAATTGTAATAATTATAATTACATTGAATAAAAATATTTGTAATTATAATATAAATCATATTTTGTGTTATGTTTATTAAAATAAACTACAATAAATTCTAAAATTTGATTTTTATTTTAGAATTATAAATAAAACTGAAAAAGATATTATTGTTTTATTTAATTTTAATAAATAATAAGTTTTAATTTCTTTTACTTTAGTGTAGTTTTTATATAAATTTCATTATATTAAAAGGTTTAACTTCAAGTTGATAACAAATCTATTAATAATAATAATAATATAAAAGATATTTAAAATCACTTTTTTCTATAATAAAATAAATTATATTAAAATATCTTTTATAATAAATAAATAAATAAATTTTTAAATAATAATATTTTGTAATAGACAATAAACTAGCTAATAAAAATAGTATAAAACTTGAATTTACAATTTTGAATATAACTTATATATGGTTTGAAGTTTTTATTTTGTATAATTAATTAAATTTCGAAAATTGGTTAATTTAAATAAAATCTTGACAAATATACAGTAAATTAGATTATTGTTTTTTTTTTATATATTAAAATTATACGTATATTTAAGAAATTTTGATTTGCATGTTTAATAGAAAGCTTTAATATCAACTTTAAGATTAACAATAATTTTCTTTGAACTTGTTAAATATAAGATCCAATTTTAATCTAGTTGTACTGTATATAAAAAGTTAACATTGCCCTTTTGAAAATTCGATTATAATATGTATTTTTAGTTTAGTTTTCTAAAGAAGATTTTTTTTATATACTGTAAAAAACAAATATTATATGAATAGAGTTAAGATTATCTAGTAACTAAATTTTCTTGGAATTTTTATTTCTTTTTTCTTATGTACATTTGTATTTTTTAAAAATTATAAAGTATTTTGTATTTGTGATGAAAAAAAATATGTGTGCACTTTAGTTACATTCCATCGTGTATTTAATTTTTAAGTTGTATTTGCTCAGCTAATTTAATATACAGTACAATTTTCCTATTAATGTGATATCAATGACTAGTATACATTATAATATTCTACAATCATATGCCTTGGTCGTTCCAACAGTCACTATCGTCGAAGTTGTTTTCGTTTAATTGACCAAATATTCGGATTTTCTGGGATACAGACCTTATCGATGGCTTTCAAAATGAATACAACCGTTTTTTTTTTTTCTTTTCTCATCGATTATTGTATGAGTAACAGAGAGTGCTAACGTTATCAGGAATGGCAAGACTTCGAAATGCATCTGGCAGTTCAACCAACTGAGCAACCATTCCGATTTCGATATGCCATTCGATGTGACAATGGATCAACCAAACGCCTGGGTTGTTTGCGTAATACCTGATTACTGACAAACTGCAAAAGGTTGGAGATTTAGTGTTACGTCACGTTACAATAACAAAGATTCTTTCGGAAAAAACATACCTAAGCTCATTAACAGTTAATGTATCTCGAAGAGTAGGATTGTCATAATCATACTTTAAAGAACTAAGGGGTTGGTTGTAACTGCCTATTTCGCCTTGAGCCACGACCCAGAACGTATGTCCATGCTATTACAAAGTACAAACATTAAGACATGCGGCAATCAAAAGAAGTTACATGGTTAAACATACCATATGAAAGGGATGAGTTCTGTTTTCAGTATTATTCAGAAGAATTTCAATAGGCTCATTGAAGATATTATAGGTATAGGCATTGTCAGAGCTGCCGAAGCTAGAATTATCAATGACCTTTTGAATAGATGGATAAGCAAGAGATGGATGGTATGTGGAGTTGTTGATCATTCCAAAAAACATAATATTATTTCCACTCATTTGTCGATATCGAACGGCAATCTCAAGGTTAATCCGTGTGATATTCGTCCCTTGTGGCACTGCTGGGCTCGGTGGGTTCAGGGGTTTCAAGATAGAGTTGTCGGGATCATGACAGTTAGAAGTATTAGTGGGATATGGTTGAGAAGTGGGGTTAGTGAGGGGTGCACCATCGTAGCGAAGAATGCCAGTGATCTGGTCGTTCGCAAATACAGGCGTTTCATTATTTATCGTAAAATTATCCGTTGGTAGACTACAATGTGAAAGATTTGCTCGAATCCAATAATTCCCGACTGATTGGTTAGCCACAACTATTACCGAGTATCTTTGAGCAATGTTAATTGGAATTGAGTAAACCGTGACCGGTTTGATTGGCGTTCCCTCAACTTCAATGATGGTGAGTGGATGTTGATCAATGGAAATTCTAAAGTGTGTCATCGCACTCATATTAATTATCCTAAACCTATATCGTTTACCACTTTGTACGCTATATGTGGCGAATTTGTTGGGGTTACATGTTGGAATGGTACAGTTGTAATGCCCAACGCCGCTGATTTCACCAGAATCAGGGAGAGGGTCGAATCCGACATAATTTTCTAAAATTTGAGAAAGATAATTGTTAAAACGAGTCATCGTTTCGGAAGGGGATTAAGACATCGAGAATATGGTTTAGAGTATTTACTTCTACGAAATCGTGGCAGCATGCCTGGGTCGCCAGTTGGGGTGTGATACCAATCAGAAACCGTCATCACATATTCAAAATCGGATTCATTCTTGTGGGGATCATTTGGATCGTGAATAACAATTGGTCCCTTTATTGAGTAGAATGGTGTTACATCTATCTCACATATTGCAGACTCTGAATATCGATTCGATCAACTTGTTCTACCTTTAAACCGTCAACATATTGCGCGGAAAAGTGGGAGTGATACCAATAAGTCCCAGACTGGGTGAGGTTAAATACGTATGAAAAGTTGACTCCGCTAGGAATTGGACACTGGGTGGCTCCAAGAGCGCCGTCATACCAACTAGTGTTTCTTTGTTCAAGTCCGTGATAGTGAACTAAAGAAAATCGGGATCAGTGATTGAATGTTCGGTTACATATAAAATTTCGTCTGGTGACGTACTTGAGGTTGGATCGCCAAGCATATTGATCACAGTGATGTTAAGTGTATCACCAATATTTGCGCGAATCAAGGGACCAGGATACCTTGGGGAGAGAAGAGTAAATTACAAGTCGAGGAAAGATGCAATGTGAAACGGATGATATAGTGGTACTCACTGTCCATTCACCGACCATACTTGACGAGTGAAGTTGTCTGGAGACAGATTTACCTTCCTTAGTTCAAATGTGTAATTACGAATCACGTTTTTAGGGCTTTCGGATAATGGCACAAATGATTCAAAGAGACTGTTGTTGACGGGAGGCTCGATCGCGCGTTCTGATAAATGCGTCGCCGAAACCAAAAGGCCATAGCAGAGGATGCTAAGAAAAGTAAATGTCGATTTAAATTTCATCCTTGACTGATGATGAAATTTTTAGTTGAGGAAGCGTCTAGATTCACGTCTTTTATATCATCTCGTATATAGGGGTTCATCAATTACTTTCTTAAGACTGTCTACAACGCGCGTTATCAATCATCCCACTGTGTGGATGCCAGCAAACACGTAATCTGATCAGTAAATCATCATTAACGTTCATTATACAGACCGATAGTACGCATTTTATAATCATTGTCGATTCTTCGAGATAGTCACGAAAACACGAATTAACCGTAGTCTATGAATGGTTAAAGTGAACGAACGATCATTTCGCATAGGCGATCGTTATCATCGACGGATGGCAAGAAGGCGTAATTTTTTAATGTTTACACTTATTAAAAAATGTCGAAATGAATTTCTATAAATTTAATGACCAATATGTCTTAACTTTAATTTCCACCAACGTGTGTATTATGAACAACACAAACAATATTTCACGCAGGAAAAAAAAAAGGAGAATTAATATTTAAAATTTTATATTTTATAGTTATCAGTTATATTATCATTCGATCTTTGCGGATATCAGTTTTCGTTATAAGATCAGGATTTGCATGCAGCCTTACTTGAATCACTTTTTTACAATGAAAATCGGAATTTTTGTTTAAACATAATTAAAACGTTTACGAATATTGGTCTTTCATTATAAATCGTTTCGTTATCTTATATTTGATAATAAAAAAGTTGTACAATGATTGTGTAACAATTAAAAACACAACCTTATTTATTCATTACTAATAAAAATCATCAACTCGTATAATGTATGTCAATTTGCCAAAGACATTTTTAATTAATATTTAAAATCTTTTTTGTTTTTTTTTATATATAAACAATGAATCGAAATGAATACGCAAATGTGTATGTATGTATTTAACTTAAAATTCATTTCTTTAAAGTTGATCACGTTTTTTTTTAAACATATTGTATACAGTTTAGTATACGAAATTTTTATTGTAACTTTTAAGTAACAATAAAGTAATTATAAATTCAATAATTATATTAAAACAAAAATTGTAATCAAAATATCATAAAACTTAAAAATTATAATTATAATCATGTAATATAATATATAATAACATCCATAACAACTTATTATAATAGAAAACTTAAAATCCAAATTATTTTTAAAAAATTTTATTGAATACAAACACAAATATATCTGTATTATTATTATTTATTCTCAAATTAATTGAATGCTACAATTTATTGAGTTTCTTATTAAATAAATCTTAAATTAATTATGAATATCTTTAATTTCAAAAAATATACTAGTTCTTAAAAAATCAATGCAATAAAATAATTAAAATTTCAAAATTTTCTTTTAAATAAATAAATATTATTATTTTATTAATTATAATATACAGTATATATCATTTTATATACAGTATATATAAAAGTAACAATATATAATAAATTAATATATTAATGTTAATTTTTTTTTTCAGGTAAAGAGCATATATAACACATAATCTTTATTGAGTGATTTATATCCAATTACATAACTACAAGGTTCATTTAAGTTAACTCATACTTCCACCTATAGCCTTACCCAGTTATACCATTTTATTCACCACAGGGATGGATCCACATACCAGGTGGGATCTTTAGGGGATAAAAATCCTACTATTAGTTTTAAACTATTTAACCTAATCTAGATCCTGATGATTGTTATTTAGAGCATATATCTTTTAAGGTTGGTTAGAACATCTGGATAACTCGTTCAATATCTTTCATCTGGTTCCTCGGAGAAGGTACTATACTTCTTGTCACCACCTGCAATTTTCAACTTTCCTTGTAAGGATTATTTTCTTTTAAACAAGCATTGAATTGGGATAGCTCCATGTTAAAATATTCTTTATGCTATAGAGTCTGCCGTATTAGGAGGGTTTGTGAGCTTTTATCGAAGTTAGATCAGAAGCTTTTTTTTGTACAACCTTTCCTACTTTGACCTATTTTCAGTCTACAATCATCAAAAAAACTAGAGGTTCTATCTTAATACAGCCTAATTAAATTTGATCAGGATCTGGATGTTTGAAGTATAACATTTGTAGAAAAACTAGTAAATCCACAAATGAAGAAATTTTATGCATTTTGTCTTCTATGGGTATTGAACTAGGGACATGTATTTGAAGACCAGGAAATACTACCCACTGTACTATTGACCCACTGGTCATATTTAATATTAATTTATTTATATAATCTATTTAAATTATATATTAAAATCTATATATAATAAAAATAATATTAGATAATAATAAATATTTATTTAAAATTAATAATAAAAAATAATTTATTTATTTATACTGTTAATAAAATTTTTTTGAATTTTTATTAACTTTAGTTATATTCTATCAAATATTATTATAATTTCTTATAATGTCTTATTTTTATCTATATTTTTATATTAACAAAATAATATTTATCTAAAGATTTCTCAAAATACCTATAGTATTTCAATTAGTACTACTAATTAAGAACATTATAACTTGAAACCCAAGTTATAATACTCTTTGTAATTCTAAGTAACTATTTGTAAAAAGATTAAAAAAAACATTATTTGTTGAGAACTTAAAAACAATTGTCATAATGATATTTTAAGTAATTTTGCTTCTTTTCTTAAATATAAAGAATTTTCTTTAATAATCATTTCAAATATAATAAAAATAGGTCTTTAATTATTTTTTGTATAAAATAAATGAAACACACATAAATAATTACAGTAAAATGATCAACAATTAACCAAAACATTATAAAAAAGTTGTACTTTCACTTAATCTTGAGAAGAGAACAACTAAAATCATATTATAGAAACTTTGAATTCTTATATTATTGTGTTTTATAATATTATAATTTTTTTTAATAAAATTATTATTTTTATTATATTTTTATTCTCATATTTTTATTTCTTTTCTTTTAACATTTATTTTTTTATATATTGTTGTCTTTTAATTTCAATATTAGGGCAAAGTCGTAAAATTTAACTAAAACAATAATATTTAATTGTTCATATTAATTTATTTAATATTGTTTGAAACATAACATATATTAAATAAATTAAATTATTGGAAATTAAAAATTATTTTTATCAATAATTTTAAAATTTGTCAAATAAAAAACTGAAAGTTTTAATATATTGTAACGGTATATCGGCGAGTCTGTCGCTCACTCTAGCGGAGATTCGCGTAACCGTTACAAGGGTAAAATAAATGAAAGATGATTTTGAGGCGTATTATTTGATCGAGTCTTTATTAATTTCCTTTTACTCACTATCACTACCTGTAGTACCACTCCCCTCTATCTCTTACATTTTCTATATTATTTATATTTCTCTTTTGTTACATCTAGCTATGACGTCTTGGCTATGGAATAATAAGCGCTAATAATAAGAATGTCATGACTAAG